TCTCTCTCTCTCTCTCTCTCTCTCTCTCTCTCTCTCTCTCTCTCTCTCTCTCTCTCTCTCTCTGTGTGTGTGTGTGTGTGTGTGTGTGTGTGTGCTATCAATTTTATGTGTGTCTTCCTATTTTTGTGTGCCATTCTTCAGGTTTTTTGTCTTCCTGGTATTTTTTTGAACTTTCCGTGTGTTTTGTGGAGCACTTATAACTGGCAATAAGCAGTGCCAAATAGTCGGTCATTCCTCGTTTGGAGTGCGTGCACTGTGCTGTGTGCAGTCCTCTTAGGGGGGCCGCTCGGTTCAGGATGTCTGTGTTCATGTGGGTGATGACGGATGTTCGTCTGAGTGACTCCCTGGGTCAACGGGTGGTGGGAACCAACAGTCTGCAGGGTTCACTCATGATGTGAGTTGGCTCCGTGTTGGATGCGTAGACTACCTTGTATGTGCTCCACCGCTGCCTTGCTGCCCATCCCGCTTGCTTCACAGGTTCTCCTTTGCAAGCTGCTGTGTTGTGTTGTAGCTGTGCTGTTGCTGTTGCGTTCTACTTCGTTGCTCCGCTGCCTTGCCGCCCATCCACATGCAGTGCCTTACGCGTCCTTTGCTTGCATGCTGTGTATTTTGGCTGCCCCTACGTTCCATTTGGGGACAGGCTGCCTTCAACAAGGGTTCCACTTGGGGACAGGCTGCCTTCAACAAGGGTAAAAATTCAAACTTTAAGGGTTCATGACCCCAACCATCAGTACGGGGATTTCACAGATTGTCGAGGTTTCAGCCTCCTGAATCCTGATGGGTTGCTGCAACTCTGATGTATGTTATTGTCAGTTCTTGTTTTTTCCGCCCCTTGTGGTTTTCAGTGTTGATGTTTTCTTTCATTGCGTGTTTCGTACTTTGTGTGTCTCCTTCCTGTAGCTGCTTTGTGTTGCTTAGTTGCCCCACCCACGTTCAATGTGGCCCCCCCACCGGCCCGTGGCCTGCAAGGCTGCAACCACTTCTTGTGAGGAGTTGTGAGAAGTCTCATCACCCTTTGCCTGGCTGCCTTCCCTTGCTTCTACCTAGTCCGTTGGCTGTCTGTTGCTTTGTTCTTGTTTTCCTTTGCACAGTCCTGCCTTGTTGGCCGGGGCTGTTGTTTTCTGGGTGCGTTTTTCCTTATGGTCTTGTGGCCTTGAGCTCTCTGCTAGAGCACATAATTGTTTGAAAAATGAGAAAATAAGTACTCTCTTTGATTTGTTAAATTATTCTGAAGAAGACTTATTGAAAATCAAAAATTTTGGTAAGAGATCTTTTGAGCAAGTGGCAAATAGAGAATACTCATGAAAAACAACATAATCTGGAACATCATGTATCAGAGAAAAGATAACATTCTCTGGTAGCATAGGAAGAACACACAACGCTACACAGACTAAGTCCTTCAAACGCCTATCATTATGCTGTAGTCCTCAGTATACTTCCTTGTAGGGTTGGTGAACGATAGAGTCCTCTGTATTCGCATATTCTTTTGGTTTCTTGTCTGGGATGTGTGTGCCTTGTATATTAATTTTACGGTATGATGTGGATCTCTTTATGTCCTCCTGGTATGATTTTGCATTTTTGATCGCATATTTCTAAACGCAGCTCGCCGCCGCTCTTCGCTTCGCGGTAGCTTCTGTCCCAAAATAAACACACACATGGATTAGTTTCTCAGACTTACAGCCGTTCTTCTTGTCAGGGGTTTGGACGGACAGGCTGCTAGTCCCTTCTTCCCCCGAATACAACGTACGGTCATTATAGCTGTATTTGGGGTATCTTTCAGTCTAAATACAGCTATAATGACCCTACGTTGTATTCGGGGGACGACGGTAGGAATGCAGGGTTAGTAATTTAGTATGACAAAGTAGACCCCTTTTCTCAGGGGTGCAGGTAGGGCTAAGCCTACTGGCAGCTCTGGGGGTGAAGCGCTGATAGTCGGTGACACTCAGTGCTTATCCATCAATGGAATGCAACCTCCGGAGGTTTTCAGAGCAGACTTTTGATTGGCAACCTCCGGATGAGTTTTTAAACCCCCTTTTTTTTGTGGGGGGGGGGGGGGGGGGGGGGGGGGGGGGGGGGAATTGTGCACAGCGAAGTGAGGAAACACACAGATCAGCCACAGACGGAATCGCAGCCATTCTAAAGGTTGGCGTGCAGTCTCCGTCGTTGTCGCCGATCGTAACGGACCTTTCTTTATACCTGAGCAGTGAGCACACACTGCAGTGTCTCTGTCCATCCACTTTCCTGTCAGCTCCACCACCATCATGCGTCATCAGCCTCCCCTTCATATATACGAGCGTACTCAGCCAGATCAAGGTACGCTTTCTTTCGGAGCAAGAAGGCCTCGTTCTGCTGGAGGATGAGCTCAATTTACGAGGAGTCGGTGCGAAGTGCGTACTTGCACGGCCTGGTCTCCGCCATCGCTGATGTTGCAAGTCGTGCACAAGCCCGGCAGTTCAATTTGGCGATGAAGGACCAGGTCCGCGAAGTTAGGCAGTCTTAAGTACTTCGCAGTATGAAGGGAGGAAGGATGTCAGAGACTGTGGTAGATGGAAAATGTTGATATGCTTCGTAAGTCGCTTTCCTGCCGCCAGATACAATTGCACACAGCCACCAATTAAGCGAGCAAGCACACGTCTGTTGTTGTTTTTTTTTTTTTCGCGTGTGTGTGTGTGTGTGTGTGTGTGTGTGTGTGAGAGAGAGAGAGAGAGAGAGAGAGAGAGAGAGAGAGAGAGAGAGAGAGAGAGAGAGAGAGAGAGAGAATGGTGGGCTCGTTTGCTTCAGGTCGGGGGAAATGTAGCAGGCTTGGAGTCTGCTTCATAGTCCTTGTCTCGTGTTCCGTCTTTGCACCTTTGGCGCTTTGTGAAGTTCCCAATACGGACTTGATTGCAGCTCCGCTGTTGGAAGTGAGTGAAGGAGGTGGTGGACCATCTGTCCAGTCGCGGTCCGCTCTTCGGGCACCAGAATACAAAGGACGAGATAGCCATGTTTTCCTCTCCCGCGCCATCGCGGCGGCTGATGGGCACAATCCCAAGCTGTTCGCCCGACGTGCGGGAGCGGGATCTCAGCTGGAGTCGGCAGCCAGGAGGGGATTGTCAGGTTTGTCCGTTTCGCGTTGGGCCGAGACTGGTCAGTGGCAATCACAGACTACGAAAGATCCGACACGGCCCACCTTGATGACCTTGTCATGGTCGCGTACACGTGGCGACACCGGGGAGAGGCACCATCTACTGGGGTCTTATCCACGCAGGATGATGAGAGAGATACCCGGGCGGTACAAGGACAGCGCGCGAAGCGCTGAAAGCGTTGATCTCCATCAGCACGGCTTCGTAACAGTCGTCTTTCAAATTGGCGCGGCTGTATTAAGCACGATAGCCGTGGTGTGGCTTTGTGGCCTAGGAGATGACGATAAGGAGAAGAAGGAGGGAGGAGGAGTCGGCGTGGAAGTGGAGGTAGAAGGGGACATATGTGGTTGTATCGACGCGTGCTGTGAATAAGGAGGTGGAGACTGAGGGAGGTGGTGGGGGAATGGAGGAGGAGGACGAGGAAGAGGAGATGAAGTGACGTGGTTGGGGAGCGCATATATGATGAGCATGACGTCTACCCGTCGTGCTGATGTATGTTCCGAGAGGAAAGAATACATTGCTTGTCCCTCACGTTGGTGCCACTCGGTGTGGATCGTGTCGTGTTGGACAAAGTCTTTCTGTTGCGCAAAGTCTTTCTGTTGCGTGTTTGCCGAGTGGCAACATTGATTGCTGTCTTAATGGGGGAAATGGGTAGAAGACACCCTGGGATCCGGTTCAGCAGGAGGATAATAGGTAGAAGACGCCCACGGAAAACGAACTGGAAATAGCCAACCCGAGGATAATAGGTAGAAGACGCCCACGGAAAACGAACTGGAAGTAGCCAACTCGAAGACATTGGGCGTAAACAGCCCAATACGTTCTCCGGTGGACGTATTCTACCTATTATCCCTTGTTGATGGCCATGTCATTGTTGTGGCTCCTTATAGCTTCGTCAGTGCTTGGCTGTTTTTTTTTTTTTTTTTTTTTTTTTTTTTAATTACGGGGACAGCTGTGAGGGAACGGTTCTTGCTACGCATTTGTCCTGGACGACCCTCGGCAGCTTGGGAATTGCAGAACGGGTGACTTTCTCTCTTTTCTGTTGATTTCACCACTTATTGTTACTCGTGACAGCCCGAGCAGATGTCTATCTTCTAACATCTGCTTGTTCTGGCCACGTGGCAGTTGACTGGCGACATGGTAATGCAAGCCTAATTGGGATATAATGTGAGATAAAATCACTTTGTATCACGAACAGACCGTATCATATGTACTTACGACGGGCGTCAGGTACACACAGGACTCGACGTTTGGAGCCTAGATGGCTTGGTCCTTACAGAATTACAGTTTGTGAACACTCAGCTGTACTGCTCGTCGTGACAGCGCAAGCAGGTGCCTCTGCCTTCGGGCTCTGCTTGTCTGTACACAGAGCAGCTTTGATGGCGACATGGACACCATTATAGCTCATTGAGAGGCAATGGGAGAAGGAATGATTTGCATCCTATTCTCGTTTCTGTATATTCCGCCCCATGTGACAGCCCACGCAGATGTCTGTCTTCCATCTGCTTGTTCTGTCCTCGTGGCACCTTGGCTATGGGAGAACACATGTCCTGTTCTCTCTTTTCTGTTGACGTCGCCAGTTTCTGTTCCTCGTGTCGGCCCAAGCAGACGTCTGCTCTTTCTTAGATTCTTGGTCGGCAAGTTAGGTGGCGCCCTTCTCTCTTTTCTGTTGACGTCGCCAGTTTACCTGAGGACGGCCGTGAGCGCAGCCTGGCGGAAACGCGTCGGGTAAGATGCGCGTTTCTTTCTGAGAACATTACATGCGGAGAAGTAATGATGATGACCTATCTGTCTATGCTTGTACGAGAAGCAGTCTATGGATGGCCACTGTTTTCACTATTCTGTTTTCAGTGTTCTGTTCGCGTGGCAGCTTGGCTTTGGTAGAACGGGTCACTCTTTCTCTCTTTTCTGTTGACTTCACCACTTTTACTGTTCGTCGTGACAGCCCAAGCAGAGAGATGTTTCTCTTCTGTCTGCTTGTTCTGTCCACGTGGCAGCTTGGCTGCCTACCTGGTCATTGGGATGCAATGGGAGAGCGCATCATTTTGTATGCTCTTTGTTTTCTTTGATTTTACGCCCAAGTGTTTCGAGCATCCCAAACCCAAAAGTTTACCCACATAGCCTTTCCCCACAAACTTCAAGTGTTAGTCTAATGTCCATCTCTGCTCCACGAGGGGTCCTTGCTAATCCGTAGGGGGCCTTCGGAAATGATACTGGAAGAATAGATTGGAGCATTT